CCTGGTCCTGGGCACCATCCTGGTCCTGGGCACTGTTCCTGCCCCATGTTGGGGGTCCTGGGCACCATCCCTGCCCCATTTGGGGGTCCTGGATGCCATCCTGGTCCTGGGCACCCTCCCTGCTCCATTTGGGGGTCCTGGACACCATCCCTGACCCATGTTGGGGGTCCTGGGCACCATCCCTGCCCTGTGCTGGGGGTCCTGGATGCCATCCTGGTCCTGGGCACTGTCCCTGCCCCATGCTGGGGGTCCTGGGTGCCATCATTGCCACACCTTGGGGGTCCTGGGCACCATCCTGGTGCTGGGCACCATCCCTGCTCCATCCTGGGGGTCCTTGGTGCCATCCTGGTCCTGGGCACCATCCTGGTCCTGGGCACTGTTCCTGCCCCATTTGGGGGTCCTGGGCACCATCCTGGTCCTGGGCACCCTCCCTGCTCCATCCTGGGGGTCCTGGGTGCCATCATCTCCCCATCCTGGTGGTCCTGTCACCATCCCAGTTCCGGGCACCATCACTGACCCATGCTGGGGGTCTTGGGTGCCATCATTGCCCCATCCTGGTGGTCCTGGGCACCCTCCTGGTCCTGGGCACTGTCCCTGCCCCATTTAGGGGTCCTGGGCACCATCCTGGTCCTGCCACCATCCCGGTCCTGTCACCATCCCAGTCCTGGCACCATCCCGGTCCTGGCACCATCCTGGTCCTGGGTACCCTCCCTGCTCCATCCTGGGCATCCTGGGTGCCATCATCTCTCCATCCTGGTGGTCCTGGTCACCATCCTGGTCCTGCCACCATCCTGGTCCTGGCACCATCCTGCTCCATCCTGGGGGTCCTGGGTGCCATCATTGCCCCATCCTGGTGGTCCTGGGCACCATCCCGGTCCTGGCACCATCCTGGTGGTCCTGGCACCATCCTGGTCCTGGGTACCATCCCTGCTCCATCCTGCGGGTTCTGGGAACAATCCTGGTCCTGGGTACCCTCCCTGCTCCATCCTGGGGGTCCTGGGCACCATCTCTGCTCCATCCTGGTGGTCCTGGGCACCATCCTAGTCCTGGGTACCCTCCCTGCTCCATCCTGGGGGTCCTGGGTCCCATCATTGCCCCATCCTGGTGGTCCTGCCACCATCCCGATCCTGCCACCATCCCTCCTCCCCCGTGCCCTCCTCACCCCTCTGACCCCCTTAACCCCCCCCCACCCCGTGCCCCCCCCCTGACCCTGTGCCCCCCCCCCCCCCAGCTGCTGCAGGAGAAGTTCCTGGAGTTCGCCAGCGAGACGGGCAGCGTGGGGCAGGAGCGAATCGCCGCCGTCAACCAGATGGTGGACGAGCTCATCGACTACGGCCACACCGACGCCGCCACCATCGCCGAGTGGAAGGACGGCGTCAACGAGGCCTGGGCCGACCTCCTGGAGCTCATGGAGACCCGCGCCCAGATGCTGGCGGCCTCCCACGAGCTCCACAAGTTCTTCAACGACTGCAAGGAGGTTTGTCACGCTCCGGGTTTTCCCTCTCTTTCTTCTCCTTTTTCTTCTTCTTCTTCTTCTTCTTCTCCTTCTTCTCCTTCGTCTTCTCCTTCTGCTTCCCCTTTTCTCCTGGTCTATCCTTGGACCTGTGTCCTGGTCCATCCCAAGGTCCCATGTCCTGGTCCATCCTTGGAGCCAACGACCCATGTCCTGGTCCATCCCAATGACCCATGTCCTGGACCATCTTTGGAGCCAATGACCCATGTCCTGGTCCATCCCAACCACCCCTATCCTGGTCCATCCCAACGACTCATATCCTGGATGATCCTTAGAGCCAATGACCCGTGTCCAGGACCATCCCAATGACCCATATCCTGGTCCATCCCAACCACCCATATCTTGGTCCATCCTTGGAGCCAAGGATCCATATCCTGGTCCATCCCAACCACCCATATCCTGGTCCATCCCAATGACCATGTCCTAGACCATCCTTGGAGCCAATGACCCATGTCCAGGACCATCCCAATGACCCATATCCTGGTCCATCCCAATAACCCACGTCCTGAACCATCATTGGAGTCCAGGACCCACGTCCTGCTCCATCCCAATGCCCCACATCCTCATCCATCCCAACAACCCCCCTTGGCGTCTCCCGCAGGTTCTGGGCCAGATCGAGGAGAAGCGTCAGCGCCTTCCGGAGCTGGCGGCGCGCGAGGGCCGCACCTCGGCCGGGGCCCTCCAACGAGCCCTGGGCGCCTTCGAGCACGACGTGGAGGTGCTGGTGACCCAGGTGAGGCAGCTGCAGGAGGGGGCGGCCCAGCTGAGGACCCTCTACGCCGGCGACAACGCCGAGGCCATCGCGGGCCGCGAGCAGGAGGTGCTGCGGGCCTGGAAGGAGCTGCTGGCGGCGTGCGAGGAGTGCCGGCTGCACGTGGCCAGCGTGGCCGACAAGATCCGCTTCGTGGGCTCCGTCAGGGACCTGCTGGCCTGGATGGACGGGGTCATGCACCAGATGGGCGCCGGGGAGAAGCCCAGGTGGGCGCCAGGGGGGGTGTGAGGGGAGCTGGG